GATGAGTAGTATCGAATATGCACACAATGAAACTGCATTTCTGACATATTTTTCGGTATAAAATCGAGGCGCTTGAGACTTCTTCCATTCGTCCTACCAGTTTCTTGTTGTTGTTGTGGATTGGATTGGATTGGATTATTCAAGTATGGCAAAGCACACGAGGGCTATCTGCCTTTAAAGGGAGGGATGCCTTCGTGGAGGACTTTCTAAGGGAAACTGGCTCGTATACACGTTACACATGGGGAAAACCACGAAAACACCCATGCAACCAGCCTGTTCGCGGGATTCGAACCTCAGACCGAACTACCAGTGTTCAGGGTCTTTACCGCTCGGCCGCTGGTGGGCTGTTGTTGTTGTGACTTAGCTCACTTGTGTGACAATAACATCAGAACAAGCCCACGAAATTAATCTTGGCAAGAGCCTTGAGCACCGCACAGGTGACAATCCGACTTCGCTCAGTTCCCCCCCAAAAAAATATTGATAGAGAGAACCCCGGCGGGGACGGGTTCTAGTGTCTCCCACCCCTCTTCCCTACCACCAACCACTTGAGAGGACTTTCGAGAGACTTTCGACACTTGAGAGGCTCGCCATATAGTCAGAGTGTTCCCATGCTGCAAAGACACTATACATTTACAAACATCTGTGAATGGAACCCGGACCATTCTGTACCGCAATAGGCTCCCCTAATCAGTATATCATCTGGGCGGCTCGTACCAGTTTAGTATATCTTAGTCATAAAAGCCCATTTTCTGAGCTCCCAATCATCTGTAGATGACAGTTTTCGCCAAGATTTCCCAACGGCGTTGGTATTGATTTCCTGGAGGTGGATGAAATTTTAAAAGGGGTCCATAACGATCAAGGCCTGGATAGCCGAATATGCAGTGGTAATTGATTGGCATAATCAAAACCCCATTGTTTACAAAATTATTTATTAATGAAACTGAAAATTGTTTGTTTATTGAAATAAAACTCTATCATGTAGTTAGAAAGAACTCTAAAATAAATATAAGGGGAAAATACACTAAAATTATTAATAATATTTAAAAAATCAATAATATTTCTCAAAAATATGTAAATTTTATGTGCAACTAGTACAATATTTAAAAAAAAAAAAAAAAACTCTCAAGAACACAGGAGAGCACAAAGGAACAAAACATGAAAAACGCAAAACTAGAACAGAAAACAAGAAACAGGCTGAACATATTTGAATTATAATTTAAAAATTAAATTAAGCAGTTTAATGCCAAGTATTAAAACAACTGTATTGGTACATCAAGTGCAGTCATCCCATTAATTTAAATTAAACTTCTGCGCAATCAGATTTTATATATATATATATATATATATATAGACATGTTACTTCCTTGTATGAAGTAAAGGAAGTATTTTAATAGCGAAAAATTTCAGTTTTCAGGTTTTAACAGAAATATCCATTTTCACCGTTTCCGAATCCGTTTTGTTTAGTTCCGTCGTGACCTATATGCGTACTCAAAAACGCTCGCCATAAAATATTTAAATTTTGTATTCGGGACCTTTGATTAGTTTCAGCTTGACGTCTGTACGTCCGTATGTAGCTCGCGTAACTCAAAAATGATTAGCCGTATGATGTTGAAATATTGTATATGGACTGCCAAACCATCTAGTTGTGCACCCTCCTTTATAAGGTATTTTACCCGCCTTCTTAGCATGCCTTCGTGGTGTAGTGGTCAGCACACTCGGCGCGTATTTCGAGAGGTCCGTGATTCGAGTTTAAGCGAGGGCATTGCTCATTTTTCTTCTCTCCTGCTTCGAAATAAGCTAATGACTCAACAACTTTTTTATTTCAATCGGCAGTGCCAAAATTGCACTCTGAATTAAAAGATCGTATCTTACTTTCAAATGAAATAAGTTTAAATGAAGCGCAGTTTAAATGAATAGGAGTATAAGAAAATCATGTGGTATCTACATCAGATTTTTATATTTGTAAAATTAAAAATAATAATATAAAAAAATAATGAAACATGAATTTAAAAAACCCTTTTTTCCCCATAGTTTCAATCTCATTGTTATCTTTAAGCTATTTACCTATCATTGAATTATATATGATTATTTGTATGTATTATGATTATGCTGTATAATGTTATATGTTATTATAGGTACTTATGATTATGTTATGTACTGTTATGAAGAAAAATGTAAGGGGATCGATGAAAAAAAACCCATTCCTTTGTAAAGGGTCAATGCAAGAAAAATAGTTAGGTGCCCCTGATTTGGATCTTTGCAGCTAAATCGAAGCTCTTATTTCATCTTCTTCTCTTTACTAAATCTTTTAGCAGCACGAAACAGATGAAAGTCTAGAATTGAATTTCAGTTGATGTTTTCTGTTTATCTTACGAAAAATGGATTACAGATCGTTGCTCTTTAGTTGCACATGCGACTCTAGACAATCCGTAAAAGCGACATCACTTTCATCAGCAACAAACTTGATGATGTCTGTGTGATGTAGCTCCCTCCTCTTCCGCCTGAGCGAGAGCAAATACTGTCAAATCGGTTGACAGTGCAATAGTCAGATTAGTTGTTTGTCATCTTGTAGCTTGGTACTTGCGAAACTTTTCTTTGCATTAATTTTCGATTCTTCCTCGAATAATCATTATAAATTTGCGAAGTTTATAGAAATAAACCACGTGATAAATATTTCTTTAAAGATTACTCATTAGTCAGGCGATCTCCGTTCTTCTGTCGACAATCCTCTTCATGTAGCCAGGGAAAAGTCGTTGCATTCTTAAGCATTTCCATTGCAGTTTGCAATATGATGGTCTTGATTTCGTTAGCAGATGCGAGTCAAGTAATGTGTGGGCCTTTATAAAATTGTGATATCTAGTTCTTAACCAAACGTAATTAATTTTAACGACAACAGCAACAGCAATGGTAATAAATAATACCCATCACTGATGAAAATCGTTAGTTATTCACACAGTTTACAAATTAACACTGTTTTGTTTGCTAAACCAATCTCTATAGAGCCATGTTTTGATATTTAGAGGAAAATTATGAATTTTATGTGCTCAGTCATTCCCTGAAAATATTTTTAAAATTGAGCTGGGATGCATTTTCTTCTTATCACAGAGACGCGAAAATGCTCTCCAGCTCGAAACATCACTGGAACTTGCGATTTCTGCACCATTTGCTGTGCATCCGATTTCATGCTGTAGGTTGTTAAATGTGCGAATATTTATTTATATGTTCGCCCATCTTCTCTCTTCCTTGCCCACCAGCAACCTATCTGTTTCGCTTCGGATTGCACCACACATATTTACGCATATGCGGCTGAACAGGTACCATCGATCACATGTTCGAGTGCGAAATCACCAAAAACCTAAATTTCTTGCCGTATACAGCTAAAATTCCCGGGAATGGCTGAAAGAACTCCAAAGAGTAAGCTACTACGAAGCAAACTTAAAACTCTCATAGGACTACCTGGCAATGAATTGTAAAAATCTAAAAACAATTTAGACTAAAAATTGCTCTCAGCACAGATTTAGCAGCTGTGTGGTGTTATAATGAACTTCATCTTTTCTAGTGTTCTGCACCAGTAACCGGTACAAAATGGTGATCTGTGTATAAGTGAACCGCACACGTTTTCTAATGTACAGACAAATTTTCAGCTCTAAACACTGATTTGAATTTCTCAGCGTCACCTTTAGTTATCGATCAGGCAGACTATATATAAATGAATTGTAAGCGGACTGTAAATAAATGAATAACACAAGTGACTACTATGACTGTGACAAGAAAATATTACATAGAAACTCTGCAAATATGTGAACAGCACATATGACGTATATAAATATACCCAGTAGATACTGTTCAGTATAAGTGCATTTGAATAAATTCTTATATCCATGTTACAACTGATTTCTAGAGTAAATGTTCTCTGTAAACTCAGAATCGCAATGCATAAAACATTGCTAAATCCTCTTTCAGCAAAGCCAAAGTCTTGACAGGGTCTCTTTAAAACCACAGGTCACAAATATCTAACTTCCAAAGTAACTTAATAAACAAACATTCCGCTACAAATATTAAAATTCCGTAGAGATTTTTGGCTGGGCCTAGCGACAACAAAATGATCCACCAATTGAATACAGATGCTGATAGTCATCTAAGAGGCGATACAGTAACTCAGTTGGTGGTAAATAAGTAAATGTGTACGAGGAGGCCAGTTTCCCGTAGAAAGTCCTTCAAAGACATTGGTCCTCTTAGGCAGATAGCCATCGAGTGCTTTGGAATAAGCAAATAAACCAAATTTCTCTCAGTCCTAGTTATTGCCAAATCACGACATGTAATATTACACTGCCTGTCTTCCCTAGCCTTTTTATTTTTCACTATCTGCGTAAATTTAAGCTCTTCATAAATTCTTGTTTTCTTTCGTATAGTTCTTTCTGACTGGATAACTTCGATTTAGGCAGTTTGCAGTACTACTTTTCAGAAAGAACCCCAAACTCTCAGTCAAACAAAATAGCACTTACTTTTGCACCTGAAAAGTATTTTTCTGCATTCCAGTCAGAAACTTTAGATTTGACATTGATTCTGTCCCACTTAATAAAAGCTAAGTTTTAATAATATGTTTAAATCATGCGACTGTTCATTATTGATGCACATAATTTAACATCTTGATCACCACAATCAAATTAGGAGATTCGTTGTTTGTTGAACTTAAAACTACGAATTATGCAAGCCATTTGAAGAGTAATACCTGAAGTTCTGAAGAACACTTGATGAAATATTGAATTATCGACAAAGATATTATACATACAGAAACCAAAACGCATATTGAAAAGTTTTGCAACTGAATACATTCTCTAGATCCTTTACAACTCATGACTGCAGTGCGCTCAACAATTTATGATAGTCAATTAATTAAAATAAACAATTTTGCTCGTAATTAGACTATTTTGTTTTAGAAAACCCATTTACAAAATTCCTTCATGCGTAAAGTAACTTATCAATTTTTTCTGCTTTAGGTTTGGAATGTGGATGGTGACGGTCGTCATCTTAAACCGGGAAGAATAGAAGTTACAGACTCACAACTTATACTTTATCAAAAAGGACACATCGTTGTGAAGTGGCCTCTTCGAAGTCTCCGTCGTTACGGGTTTGATTCTGAAGTTTTCTCCTTCGAGTGTGGCAGAAGGTGCTCTACTGGTCCCGGCGTCTACGCCTTCAAATGTAAGAGAGCCCAAGTATTATTCAGCATTCTTCAAGAATGTATAAACAACTCAGGAGGATGGAGGAGGAGGGGGAGCAGGTACAAGTACATCCTTGGCTTCCATTGACGATCAAATCAGTTTGACAACTTTCGGTGGTGAAAGAGTGAGCTCATTAAATTCCCCACCTCCTATGCCAAATGGCACACTGCCGAATGGTAGAGGATCAAATCCAACAGTTGATTCATCGGGTTACCTTGAACCCATCACTGCTAATTCTCATCTTCATTATCCGGCTTCAGCCAGCTCATCTCGCAACGGAGGCCAGTCTCCAGGAAGTTACATTTGCATTCATGGTGCAAGCAGCACTGGTCATCCAGATGGTATGGCTACAGAATGGTCTGGTATGCCCTCTAGCATGACCAACTGTTGCAATCTAGGAACGTGCGGCGTCCGATCTTCTTCATCAACTCATCATTATGTAAATAACGAGGTCATTGAACAAGTAGCCGGTTGCTCGAATAGTATGTGTATCGTTCACCAGTATGTAAACTCATCCGTCATGGCCGGAGAGCTGCCACATCCATGCTGTTCGCCGCCTAAATGCTGCCCCATGCAGAACGAGAATACTTATGTCAACAGTTCGATCATGACTCTTAGTCCTGGTCACTTACCATGTTCTGGTAGTTGCTGTGCAGTGAACTGTTCTAATTGTGTGGATTTCAATACGAACTATGCAAAGCTTGACGATCTCCTGAAGCAAGAGCAATCAGCGAAACGCCACAAAGAGCAACATTTTTATGTGAATGTGAAACCAGATGGTGCTGTTCCCTCAAGTAGTTCCACAAGTAGTAAATGTGTTTCTGGTCGATCTACTCCAACTGATGTTTTATCTAGGAGTGGTACCTTAACTTCTCCTACCAGCCCCGGATCCACAAAAATGCATAATTCTCACTGCTATGCCAATCTTGGCTCTCCCACGCCTTCAGAGGCTATGTCGTCTAGGGAACTTGGAGCGCAAGTGAACTATGCGGTCCTAGATTTGGACCATAGTGAGTCTGGCAATAATGCTGCAACGCCACCATCCGCGCCCAACAGTATTCATTCACTTGCCAACTCACCGGTCAAATCACCGGAAGGTTACGCCCAAATAGACTTTGACAAAACAGTGGCGTTGTCAAACTCTGCCAATCCTTGTCCTTTCAATGATGACAGTATGCGAAAAACGAGGCATAATGCAGTGATTCCCTGTACTAGTATGTCAGCTTGATTAATAACCATTTCAGTCAAGTTGTTTGTATTTTTGGTGCTTTTGCTGCCAGGTCAATGCAAGCGTGTTTTTCAGAAACAGAATTCGGCAGCTGGAAGTTTTGTAATGTTAACACGCGGCTTATTGTTTTGTTGCAAAATGAGAGATTGATCAAATGTTGAAGCTTAAAAGTGAAAATAACCTCAATGCTGTTTTAGAAACGCATTTGTCATTGATTACTTTAAAAAAGAATATTTCTTTTGATCTTAATTTATTTTCATAATTTTGAATGGTTCTTGTTAAAATTCTATAAGAAATGAATTTCTATGTATAATATTCTTGCACATTTTTGTAAAGAACATAGCTGTTAAAAATGTAAAAGCTACTTATATTTCTAATTTTACATGTAAGGTGCTATTTGGCTTTAAATTGTTTATTTTTGCTATTGAAATGATCTAAGGTTATTGTTAATGCTCTAAGAAATTGTTTATATATATACATATATGTACGAATTTTGTCAATATTAAAAGTTACTTTCTAGTCCATTTTCTGAAAAAAATATTTACTTTAATTTAGAGGTTGCTGCGTAGTGCAAAGAGATGTAGTAGAATATGATAATTTTTAAATTATTCATGGCAATGGAAACGATTAAGTTATAAATCAGTTTAAATATCATGTGCATATCCGGTTTCCTTATGATTTGTGCTGTATGGTTCTTGACGCTGATCTACAGCCATAGATAGCAAATTAAAAAGAAGTGAATATTTTCAACGTTTAATTATTCATAATAACCTTGAGGCACACGTATACTAGTGTATTACGCAGTTGAAAAAGTCTTTCTGATAAACTCATAGCTTTTTGACATACATCAATCAATGGCTTTCATCGTTGCTTCAATAAGAATCTTCAAGTCGGGTAGATTCTTAGGAACAGGATGTATAAAAAAAAAGTTCAGATACCTTCACAATAACGTTCCACTAAGATGTTGGTCGAGTCACCTAGGTGGCTATTTTAAAATCTGAATGAGGTAAACGTGTGGTTTTGTATTCTGGGACGCATGTCTGTGTTCTGTCCGGATAATAAGGACATTCCATCTACTTGATGTATAAATATATCCGTTGTTTTACATAAACTACTCAGCATATCAAGTTGCGCTGATTCTACGATGACGTTTTAACAAACTCTGGACTTAAACACAAGTATATCTTTAAAATGTATCCTTTTATCATAAATTTAAACTGAATTGAAACAAAATATTGAATACGTAGCATTTAATTCGATTAATATCGTTAATGGCATTTCTATTCAAGACTTTCTGAATTGAAAATTGTACTTTGTGCATTTTAAAGCCTACATTCCGACCACAAACAAGCAGAATTAACTACATCTGTCAATTGGATTCTTTTATCCGTTTAATTAGTTAATGCCCAGAACAGATCTCTGGAGAATATTGGAAGGAAACATTATGAGTTAAGTAGCTTGCTTCAAGTTAATGCAAAAGGTATACGGAACTCAAACAAAGAAGTAAAATATAAGTGATGAATGCACAACGCAGTTTTTGTTGCCTTGAAAGGCTTGCTAACACCTTCGGCCTTGCCATAGGTTTTGCATCGGCAACGTCGCCTTACCTTGGCGTTGGAATAACGAACCAATAAGATAGCAAGATAAAACTTTTATATATATTTTTTCTATATTATCTTAGTATAATATTCTTATGATGAATTCTAGATACTCTTAGACAATTTTTTCCTCAGAATAAGGAAAGTTGATAAGCTTAATATATAAATTATTAATAACAAATTTTCTCTTTCTTTTACGCTGAGTGGATTTAGTACTTTGACTATTTCGTTTTAATACATCAGAATATTATGCAGTTTTATATGCATAATTATGTATTTTTATATTTGTATGCAGTATTTGTTATAATTTTACTTAATTTAATTTGGAAACAAAGAGCAAAAATGTCACAGAGAAAAAATTTTATTACTCAGAATATGTAGTCATCTTTCATTATTTGTACTCAAACCCTGTCTTCTCTAAAATCTGCTATCAGTTTTGCCAATCTGTCAACGTTTTGCCATCGGTCTAAATCTCGACTAAAGCTTGATACTCAAAGTAGCAGAAATGTCTGTATTCTTCTCTGTTAATCCTCAAACTTCAAATTTTATTAAACTTCTATGTTGTCTTGCGGTGATGCTCCTTTACAGCGCATACAAACAAACGTCTGACAGATAAACAAACAACAAGAAGCCCATTATATCATTACACATCATGACGTAATGAGCATTTTTAAACTGATTGTTAACGAAGGCAATCAACAGCGAAATTAAGATGGTTAAGTACACAAGTCCAAGAGAGAGATAACTGTCGCGTTCGCCCACGTGTTCCTCACTTCACTTTTTGCAAAGCCATTTTGCCAGCTGCATTTCGTAGAATTCCTAAAAGTCTGCATGTTGAAACAATTTCTGCTCCTTAAGTAGCACAAACATATAATAAGATTCTTAAGAAACTATTATTATGACCCAAATATGATTATGCGGAATGTTCGAGATACTGTATTCATAAGAAAGGTAAAAATAGAGAAAAGTGTTCTGTACTTCCTCAAATAAGAAATTTCGAATCAATTTTTGTTGCATGTAATGTAAACGGAACAATCATAACCCCTGAATTTATTATAAAATAAATAAAATGTTACGGATATTGAGTTTAAAAAGATACAGTTGTTTTAGCAGAAAGTTATTTATGTTGAGAAATGTGCTAATGCCAGATTCATTTAAAAACCAAGATTTTATGTTTTGTAAACTTCGCATGTAGCGTATACCTGTTCACCAAAATTTAAGAATAATCAATTACTGGGATTTTTCCAGTAGTGGACTTAATTGTTAAATTACGTTCTCTCTGTCGTTTTATTGTGAACTCTGTCATTTTAGAAATTAGAGCCTTCACGGAAGTGAATTGTTTGTGGGAATACAGAGTTCACGTGAAATTTCTAGTGGAGCATTTAATATGAATCCGAGTGATCTAATTGCAGTATCTTCTCTTAATTTTTGTATAAGTTGAAACTTACACATATGCTGTTTATTTGTGTGCAACAAGTCTGAGTGACACGCATTTCTAAATACATCCATTGCGCAATAAGTTGAGTATTCTGCACGAAACTAACTATAATTTCAATGGCTGTAACTTTATTTGTTGAAGTTTTCTGACGTCTGTTGCTGTGATCGTGACGCACCCATTTCAATAAACCAAATTTAAAGTTGAAAATATTCGACGTAAATGTTTATTATTTCGATATATACTAACATATCGAATTTCTTCTGGAATTAATCTTTTTAATAATACATTTTACTGTTTGCGATGACTTGAATCTAAATTAAAATAAATAGCAATTTTTATTCATTTCTTCAAAATAAACCATACAGATTTATAAGTACAGAAATTCAATTACTTCTCTTAGTTTGCATTACAGCAGCTAACCATCATTACAGCAATAATAAATTGTGTGTAATAATATGTAACTGGTGAAAATTATCTTCCCGTATTACTCAACGAATTAAAACTTCAACCCTCTATTACCTACAATATTCAAATACCTAATTCTTTATTTTATCCTCAATGTGGAATATCTTTCTTTTTTCAACTTTAATGTTGTGTTGGAATCAATGGCAGTCATACTTTGCTTTTAACTTACTAGCATGGTATTAAAATTATACATCTTGCAATTTTATTTGGTTTTCTGTGTGTGGTTCAGGTAAAATCTGAACGAAGTTTTCATAATCTTAAAAATTTAATAATATTTTAGACATTATTTTATGAATTATTCATTTCATCAAAACAAAGTTCAAAATATTCAAATTATTTTCATTTCGATTCAAATTTATTTCGATATGTGCAAAAGAATGGCATTTTTTTATTAATCCATTTTACCGTTTGCGATGATTTGTGTCTGTATTAAAATAAATAAAAAATTAGCATTGCTACAATAAGTAAAAACCTGCATATTTATTGAAGATAATTAGTCACATTGCTGTGGATGTTAGAATTATTGCGTCATTGGCTAAGAATGTTTGCTTAACTGTAACCGACGCTGGTTTGCTTAAAGAATGGCGCTGCTTATTAGTCCAGCTAAGCAGCTGCATTGCTCTGAATGTTAAAATGATTATGTAATTGGCTAAGAATGTTTGCTTGACTGTAACCGAAGCTGGTGTACTGAAAAGCTTCCTAATATTCATTATAAATATTTCATACATTCGTTAATCATATTCCATGCTACCGTTCCTATTTCAGTTTAAAATTAACCCTGTAAATGCGTAGTGAATCTGTTTACTTTGTAATTTCTTCGTTCATGAATATTTTTTTACCAGGCTTAGCTTTTTTTAAGGTATATAATTTCTTTTGTGAGAAGAACAGTAAAATAGAGAGTTTTGCGAAGATGAAAATCTATGTACATTTTTATATATTTGAATGAAGAGTTGTTTTATTGAGTACAAAGAGTAGAACTCGTGGGTGTAATATAGTATTTTTCATTCATATACATACATTATTTGTGAAATATTCATTGAAAATATTGGATGAATGTATCTTCATTTTGATAAATGCATAACGACTAGCTTTTGGAGGATTTGATTAAATAACAATAAAAATAAATCTTTAATTTATTACATATATTATCAATTGATTATTAGAAGAGAATATATATATATATATATGGAAAGGTTTACTTCATTTTAAGTTTTGATGTGTTTGTACTGATGAGTAGAGATTTTCCATATTTCATGTAAAAATGCCACTTTGAATTCAACGGCAGTTTTATTACTAATAATCAGTTTGGATGCAATTATCAGCACGTATTGGCCATATGCTTTAAAATCGATTCTATGCTTCACAAAACAAGAGCATTATTATCTAAGCCAGTGGTCTTCAATTTCTGTCGACTCACGGAACTCTTAGAACTAACTATAAAAGACTATAAGGTTTCTTCGGGGAACCCCATTCCATCGTTAGAAAAATAGATTATAAAATAATATTTATAGATCCATATATTATAGGTATTTTCTGTAATGGTAATTAAAGAAAGGTATCGTATTTTGTATTAAAATATTTTAACATAAAATTAATGTAATTTACTAATTAATAGCATTAATACGTGCTCGGGTGGCACCTACCCTCAAACTCAAAGAGCTACTCTTGCTTAAATTTGGATTTTGAGTGTCAAATCTTTTGATATGCCGATATGGTGTTGCCTCATCCTATTACTGGAGCGGACATTTTTATCCATTTATACGCTTAGATTTTGCTTCTGGAAAATATTTTATAGCTTTCTTCAATTGAGAAAATGTGCTCCATTTTACAATTTTTAACACTGTCGTATAAATTCAGTTCATTTTCCATTAGCAAACGTTTTAGTTTTGAAGAGCATTCTCTTTGACATAAGATGCCCACGTGTTACGTTTCAAGACTAATCTATAACTAAATTCATCTTCATATTTTTTAATTAATAAACACTAGCCAACTAGTGTGAGTGATTAATAATTTTCTTTTGGAA